TCTACACAAAACCCATTGGCTTCTGCATTGTCTTCACAGCTTGTACATACCTGATTAGACTTCTCTACTGTACTACTGGGAACCTCAGTGGTGTCCTTCACAAAAAAGTTGTCTATGATGAGTCTTTCAGCACATTCTTGACTGCACACGGGGCATCGAATGACTCCAACTCGGGTAGGGAATGGCGAAGGACCACCGGCCAGGAAGCCTGGGGCGGGGGCGGGGGCGGGAGAGGGTGGAGGGGTCTCTGCCAAGCCCAGTGCTGGTGCCAACAGCATGAGGTAGCGCTGGGGCGCGGGCAGGCAGCGCTGGCAGAAGGAGTGCAGGCAGGGCACGATGCAAGTGTCCAACAGGTTGAGCCAGGCTGCCTCGCCGCAATTCTCCGAGTCCGGGCCCTGCCGGCTCTGGGCCTCCTTCTCTCAGCTCAGCGCCGCCACAGCCGCCTTCTCCACAGCCACCTCCATTGTCCAGCAGCCGCCACCAGGGAAGCAGGAGCGCGCTCCCCGCCCGCCGCCCCCGACGACCTCCGCCGCTTCCCGCTTCTCCTCGGAGGCCACCAAGACTTTATTTTTAAAAATTATCTATTTGTTTATATAGCTGCATATGGTCCTGTCTCTCTCTTTCAAGCCTAAGTGCATTTTTTACACACATTGTAAACTATTAAAACCCTATTGCTTTAACTGCAGCATTCTAAGCCTGAAACAACTGCTGTGGCTGGTGGCTCCACCCACCTCAGCTTCCCAACACATTGGTGGTACATTTACTGACAGGTCTGGGAGTAGTCATCAACCTCAGAAACAGTGGGTCTATGCCTCTATCAAAGCAGCGTGTAGCCAAGAAACCGCTTTTTATGTTGCATGGCTTACACAACCATCTGTGTACCTCGCTGGGAATAGGTCAAACCCACATGTTGTGAACCTGCAATAGAGTAGCTCAAGGCCGCATGTTGTGGTGTCTAGCCGCCCATATGAGACATGGAGCAGGAACCTGGTTTTGGTTCTGTTTAGAATTACTTATTAAATATTCTCTGGTATAAGGTAGAAACTCGAGCCATTGGGTGCCATTTGTACCTGAAG